TCCCATGAGTGAAAACAAAGATCTAAAAGAAAGTGGTAAGGTTAACAATGAATGTGTCTTTTAATACCATTCTACCTGTAATACTTCAGTCATAAGTGCACCTGTAAGTAATCTATACAATAACACAAAACAAATGCTGACCCAGCACAGATTAACAAGCAGCAGGGCCTGAGCAGGTGAATATTAACAGCTACTTCAAAAGCAAACTAATGAGTTTCAGGTAACTAGACCACATTAATGGTGTTGCTACTTAAATGAAATGGAGAACAAGAGCAGGTCAGCAACATTCACAGAAAAATAAATAAAAAGCATTTTGAAAGTATTTAAGTTAAAAAGAGAACAATGTAACAGCCAATGGAAGTCCTTCCTAATTTTATTAAGGAATGCCAGTAACAGTCTTAAAAGAAGTGAAACCCCTGTTAACATTTTTTCTGTTTAAGTGAATTCAGTAGCAGCTTTTGAAATACCCTATTCACCTGAAAACTTCACTAGCCTAACCCAACAGCTGTGGCACAAATCCTCAAAATTGCAGAGCTATCCAATAGTTTGGGACTCCACACCTTTTCCATACACCTTTAATATTCAATAACTAACAGAGATCATCAGGTTGAATTTTGTGAATTAGATAACATGATAATTGTATCAGAGATACCATGCAGAGCTCCAGTAAAGGGACATTTAAACAGTCATTGGCATGTGTACCAGGCCAGAGGCCATTCACTGAATGGCAAACACGTTACTGTTTCACAAAATAACTTCAAATCCTTAGTGTCCGATAAAAGGGAACATTAAGGAAGAAGTTCAAGCTTCAGGCATTTAAAAGGAATATCGTGATGCAGTCCTTTCAGAGGTAACTCGTTTACAGCCAGTAACATTTCCAGAAGACATAGAGTAAAGCAAGAGACAATCAAGCTTGCAGAATGATGGAAGAGCATTCAGAGCATATTGTTACTTCCTCTTGTTCTCTTTGCTTAAAATTCAATGCAGAATTTTATAGTCCCTTTGCACAAAGAGATGACTATATATTTTCTCCATAATTCTGAAGCAGCCTTTGTCCTATTTGTTGTGGAACTGTCTCTCATGGCATATAGATGACCTTGCTTCAGTGAAATAAGGACAGCACTGCTGAGCAAAGCACATTTTAACCACCAGTTCTGAACACAGTTCAGGAGTCCATTTGACTCGGGGCATGGAGAAGTGGGGACAGGGAAACCAATTTTGACTGGTAGCACAGGCCCTCTGTCACTCAGAGCAAGCTCAACCCCAACATACCCTCAGCAAGGCGCAGAAGAGAGCAGAGGGACAAATAAGACTTAACACTTCTTTGCAGCCCCTCCACCTCTGCAAGGCAAAACACTCGTACTGGGAGCTGTTGGATTATAAACTGAGGAAGATATCCTCCTTCTGCATCATCCACTTGATAAAACCAATACTGAGCCACACTTCAAGGACTGTGCAAGGCAAGGAATCATTAATCACATCTGGAGATGAGCAAGAATCCAGGCCATGCTACGGCAAGCAATGTAAAACGTTCCCTGTGAGAAAACACAGCCTAGCAAACTGGCACTCTGCCCTTCTCAAAATCTCAAGTGGTATTCAGGGACAACCTTATTATAGGATGCTACAGTACTTCCACTGTTAAGCAGTCACAAGCACAGCACACTCAGCTCCCAAAGTTCACAGTATTAAAATAATAAATTAGAAACACTTGTCTCTCTGCAGAAGTGCCTGCAGCACAGTCTGGGACAAGCAGCAGGAGGCAATGACAGTGCAAGAAAAGGGTATAAGCAGCAGGAGGGAAATGTCGAGTCTATCAAAGGATGCTCCAGATAAGCTAAGCTACTCTTGTCATGAACTCACAGGCTGTAGTGTGACATCATTATGAGCCTTCTACAAGAGCCTTGCCTGTCTGCCTGACCCTTTCACACAGTGTACAGGTCTCTGTGGCAGAGCCTTCTGTGAGACTTTTTAAAGGTTTCATTTCATGAGGAAATGAAAATACATTTATTTCAGTGTGCAAAACATAAATTTAGATTCAATCCCACTTTAAATTCTATCTTGTTACCAATTCTGAACTACATTAAGTAAATCAACATAGTTCTAAAGTCCACAGCACAGTGTTCTGACTGTACTATGGTGATTTTCAACTGTGCTCCAACTGTTTGACTAAATAATGTTCAAAGTCCCTGAGAATACTAGTTAGCACAGCAGTTCTCAAATATCTACTACTTTAACATCAATCAGGTGAGATAGAGAGAGATGTACAATCTAAGCACTCACTCTACACTGACTAAAATTACCAAGGCATACATGGCCCTGAAATTCCAGTTCAGGTATCTAATATTATAATGTTCTAAAACCTGGGAGTGTTTCACTCTATCCTGTATCAATAAAAGAATAATTTCCGAACAATTCAAAAAGAGAAACAAAGTAATTCATAATTTTCAAACATAGCTGAGTAATCTTTCACAGTGTCTCCACTATAAACACAGTCACATACTGCTATACATATTATTTCTAGTATTGAAGGAAAGGGGCAAGGTCCATAGTGCTTCAATTGCCTCAAAAAGTCTATTTTGTAAGCTCATGTTTAGCTTCTAGGAAGTGCCATGTTCTTCATTGATTAGCTTTATACTATTTGGACACTTAAATACCTATCCCAATAAAGCAAACAGATGGAGGAACTACCAGTAGCTACTTTCTCCAGAAGAAATTGGGAGGCTTATTTTAGCTATCCAATTTTGAAAACCTTATTTCTGAGTTCCCCAAGCAGGATACCAGAGTTTAAATGGTGGAATTGCCAAATAAATCTGCTCAGCATTGAATACTTTGAGCAGGCTAATTCAGTTGGTAATGCCGGTAATAAATGTCTGTAATGATGACAAGGATCCTGATGAAGTACCACTGTGCATTTTACAGGCACAGACTGTATAACCAACTGATCTGCAGGCAAGAGAAGCAGGCTTCTTTACATCCAGCTGGAGCCTCTGGTATGAGAAGCAGGCTTCTTTACATCCAGCTGGAGCCTCTGGTATGAGAAGGCTGTGGGCCACAAGAAAACTGAACAAATATCTCCAATCTTCAAATTCAACAGGACATAACCAAGGAAAAAGACAGGCAACTCCTGGAAACTGAGAGCATATGGTAGCCCTAGCATTGTACAATGTCTATCAAAGGCAACTATCTTATAAACAAACAGCAATGCTTGTACTTCCACAGGGATAAATTTATAGAATCATAAAATGTTAAGGGGTTGGAATGGACAATATAGATTACCTAGTTCCAATCCTTCCTGCAGTGGATAGGGACACCATCCACTAAATCAGGTTGCTCAAGGCCTTATCCAACCTGGTCTTCAACAGTGTCAGGGTTGGGGCATCCACAGCCTCTCTGGGCAACCTGTTCCAGTGTCTCACCACTCTCACAGTAAAGAATTACTTCCTAATATCTATAACCTATATAATTATATAGGTTTTATATATATATATATATATTATTATTATATATTATATAACCTATATAACTATATAATTTGAATTTGAGCCCATTACTCCTTGTCCTATCACTACAGTTACAGGATGGAGAGTGCCTCTCTGGCTCCCCCGTAGACCCCTTCATATACTGGGATCTTGCTATGAGGTCTCCACACAACCTCACAGCAACCTCTTCTCCAGCCTAAACAGCCCAATTTTCTCATCCAGTTCTCGTAGGGCAAGTGCTCCAGTCCTCTTATCAACTAAAGGCAGCTTCTTGTTTGGCCTTATTACATACTTAGTAATCATTTACTGTATATAAGAGGAGATCATGTCACAATGAATCAAAGTTCACCCATTAAAATCTCACCTACAGGCTCATTCCCACTTTCCCGCCAAAGCAACAGCGTGTCTCGAAGTCCACATCCACACACTGTCAAATACACATTTCTGGCAAGAATTGCTGGCGTGCAGCTTTGCAAGTTAGTAGTTTTGACCATATCCAGAAGAAGTTTTTAAGAACCATAGCGAGGCATGATTTAAAAAATGTATCATAGTGGAATGAATATAAACATGCTCTTAAACTGTTAGCTGTAGAAACATATTGAATTGTACAAAGTGTGCATTCTATTAAACTCTGCCCTTTCTACAAATCTTACTAGTAAATAAGTAACAGTTACCTCAATGCTGCAGCTGGTGTCTGTGCCAGAACAGAGTAGAAAAGAGCAGTGTCAGTTAGAATTCAGCTGCTATGCCAAAATTATTTTTATGCAGCTTTAAATCACGTTACGGAAAGATAAAAATATTTACTGTTTATAATTGTATCACTGAACAACAAACTGGAAACCATACTGAATTAGACTCTGTGCAAACAGAGTGAAGAAGAGGCGCCTATTCCAAACCGTGTACAAGCCACTTGGCTAAGTCTGTGCTTATTGCAGGTGCTCCATCCTTTAGACACATAATGATGTATATTAATAGAGTTCACCTCTCAGATGTCAAAAAATCATATCAACACCACAATACTACTGGATAGCTTGGGAAAACCAAAGAAAACACCAAATACAAACCTCAAAGCTTTGCTGCGCAGAACTGAAGGGCAAGGCAGGGTACAAGGGTGGCTCTAGGGCAAAGCACACGGGCAGGAAGCGGGGAGCCAAAGCCACACGGGGGATGGATGCCAAGCCCGGGGACCCCTTGCCCCAGGGGGCAGGGATAGGGGTAGGAGATAAAGGACAGACAGGTGCCACCGGAGCGCTCCGCCCGGCCGAGCCGAGAAAACGGCGGCAGCAAGCGGAAAGCACCGACTGAAAAGGGCTCGGGTTTAAACGGCAGTGTTGAACTCCAGAGGGGCGAGCACGGTGCCGCCCCGCCGCGCTGAGCCCGAGCTGGGGCTGAGCGGGGCGGACACGCGGCGGCGGTCCCGCAGCGGGGCTCGGCGGGCTGCGGAGGCAGGGGCGGGCGGCAGCCCCTCCCTCGCTCCCTCCGCCGCCCGGCGCGGCGGGGCTGGGGCGGGAGGTACCGTACCGGCGGGCAGGAGGCATTCCAGCGGCGTGAACACGCGCTCCATGGCCCCGCGGCACGGGCAGGCACACGCCAAAGGCACGGCGAGCCGGGCGGGGCCGGCGGCGGGCGGGGAGCAGCCGTGCCCCTTCCCGGTCTCCCGCGCAGCCACACGGCCGCGGCTGCGCCCGCCCTTGCAGGCGACAAGCGGCGGCGCTGCCCGGGTGCCTTCGGCCGCGCGTTCTTCTACATCCCCCGGCCAGGACCGCGGAAGCGGCACCGCGACGTGCCCGGCACCGGGATGTGTTCGGCACCGGGATACCGGGATGTGCCCGGCACCGGGGCGGCAGGGCAAGCCGAGGGAATCGATGGCCGCCGCAATCCGTTGCTCGGCGGTTGATTCAGCAGCGGGGAGGAAAGGCGGGACGCGCTGATTGGCAGCGGCGGAGGCCAATGGGCCGAGGGGGCGGGGCCAAGGGGGGCAGCGCCTGTGCGCCCGAGGCGGGAGAGGGAGAGAGGAGGGAAGGGACGAGGGTGCGGCAGGGGCTCCGGGAAGCCCAGGGAAACTGGAGAGAAGTAAAGCCGGCCACGAGTGTTCATGCCATGGCATGAGTGCCGCCTGTGTGCCCACGCCCTCGGGATGCAGGGAAAGCCGTGCCGGAGGGCTGGCAGCATCCCGGCTCTGCTGTCCCCGCCGGTGCCGCCTGTGCCCTCCCAGCTCGCCCGGAATGATGCGGCATTCCTAGGTGCCGCTTAAGTTTCAATTAATGTAATTTCAATAACATCACAAAACTCGTTAAATTCGTAGTTTCTCCTCGCTCAGAACTCTTAATTGGGGTGTTAATCACCTTCAGGCATAAAATGGGAAACACTGCTAAATTTGTTTGCTCTGGAGCACATAGGGGGGGGCAAGTTTTGACCCCTCAAATGTGTCGGGGATGTGTTTCCACATCCTGGACCGTACTTTGTCCCTGCAGGGACCCCTCTTCAACCGCTCCATCAGGGACAGGGCGGCATCGCCTCGCATCCAGCGTCGTTCCCGTCTCCCGGGAGCTCGGACGGAGCGCAGCGGCTCGGGGCCCCGCAGCAGAGGGCAGCAGAGGAGCGCCGGTCCCTCCCTCCACGTCTTCCTGCTCCCGTTCTTCCCTCCATCCCGTCCGTCTGTCCGTCCGTCCGCCGGCCCGGCAGCGCGGCTCGGAGCGGCCGGGAGCGCCCGCAGAGCCCCGCTCGGAGCCGCTGCGCCCCGGGCTGGGGCGAGGCGGGGCTCAAGGTCTCCTTCTAGAGGAGAAAGAGTGAGCGATGTCCACGGGCTAGATGCTCCCAGGGGTATTTTCCAACCTAATAATTACGTGATTGCCTGTCAGAGAGGGTTTCCAGTCAAATGGAAGGGAAATGGGACCAACATGTCAGCCCACTTCTCAGTCCGTCTTGTGAGTCTGAGATTCTCACTCAGATCAATATAACTTAAGCGTCTTCAGTGGTGGGCTGGTCTGGGCCACATTTTTAGGACAAGGGGGAGTAGCTCCAAAGTGAAAGAGGGCAGGTTTAGATGTTTGGAATAAACCCTTTACGGATTTACAGAGTGGTGAGGCAATGGAACAGGTTGTCCGGAGGAGTTGTAGATGCCCCAGCCTCAGGAGTGCTCAAGGCCAGGCTGGATGGGACTCTGAGCAACCTGGTCTAGTAGGTGTCCCTGCCCGTGCAAGGTGCATTGAAATGATCCAGACAATCTTGAAGGGCCCTTTCAACCTATACCACCCCAGGATTCTGTCGTTACCTGTGGAGGCTCTCAGTTCAGTCAAAGAGAGAACAGAGAGAATTCTCTCAGGCTTTGGCCTGGGAAAGTTAGGAGAAAAAATTCAAACTATTATTATCTCTTTTTCTGTTCATGTTGTTTATACTTATGTTCTTAGAGAATGTGCTATTCGTAGCTCACCAATAAAGTGAAAGGTTTTTACTTTGAGACAAATCATATTTCACCTTAGCGAGTCTGACTATAAAACCACTCACTACTTCTTAAAAAATGTTCTTTAAACCTTCTAAACATCTTAAAGTCTTTTCGTCTGTCCCTGACTCAACAACAACAGTTACCACATTGACTGTAGGTGCACCTTTGGTTCTAATGGTGCAAGCACCAAACCTTTGCCGGACCTTTTAGATAAGCTGTCCTGCCACCTATGAGAGACTACATGGTATAAGCAATTCTGGTCCACAAAACTGATAGAAATTAGAAGTATTGGAAGCGTTCATGCCTTGGCAATGAGAGAAATGAGAGATTATTGGCAAACAAGGAAAAGATATTAAGGGCCTAAAAAGTTTACTCTTGTTTACACTATAGAAATAGAAAATAGTTTGTTACACTTTTGTGCCATTTAAAATTTTATTTCTTCTCCACTGAGAACTTGAATTTCAAAGGCTCTTAGGACATTGGTATCATCTCAGTGTCCTTCTTCAAGCAGGGTAAAAACAGCCAGCATTGTGAAGAAGAGCTTGCTGACTTTTCCAAGAATGGAGACCATGTGGGGACTACCACGCAGCTGGCCAATGCTCTCCTCCTCTTAATTATATTCTCTTCTATTCTGTCTCCCCACCCTGCTTCCTTTCAGTTTTGACAGGCACTTTCCAATTGCCTGGTAATACTATTAAACCTTCTCCAGGATAGATTGTTTTTCTTCTTCAGTATCTTTCAGTGTCTCTGTCATTATTTTTTGTTTTCAATCGCTCTTGAGGGGGTACCATCTGCTACAAGAAGTTGCTGATAAACAGGTTCTTATGCATGAGAAGAGTCATACTTGCTCAGAGGGAAGGTCCAATTAAGTCAGGGCCCTGTTCCTGGCAGTGTTAATTTACAAGTCTTTCTACTCCCCTTTTAAATTATTTTCTTTGTTTGTTTGTTTTTATTTTTGGGGGTTTTTTGTTTTTGGTTTTGTTTTGTTTTGGGTTTTGGTTTTGTTTTGTTTTGTTTTTCTGTAAATACGACAGTTTCCATCTCTCCATTCCCTTCATGTCCCAGAAGATGCTTTTTCCACCTCTGTCACATTTGGGCTTCCAGGCAATCCTTTACCAGCTACAGCTGCAAAAAAGTAATTGTACCTCTCTCTGCTAATCATAGTAATGCATGATTCATCACAATAGCATGGCAAAGAGAAATCAGTCTTAAGAGACCAGGCTGGTACTAGTATGCTTTAAATCTTTTCGAGATGAGCAAGGGTCTGCAAGGTAAGGCAATCTGACAGCCCACTACACAATTAGGCAAAGGGCAAACAAGGCAGACACTCCTTCTCTCCCTGAACCCAGTCGTTTTTTCACTGCTCTTTCCTTCAGATACAAATCTCCCATCCGGAGTATAAAGCTCTTTTCAGAATCAGCTTCACAGAAATAGCTTTAGTAGATACTATAATGCACTGATTTTGAAGGCAGGACCTGACAGCTATTTAATACTGTTTATTAGAGCCTAACAAAGGTATCTAGTAGAGGAAATACAGAGAGTAAAATTAATAACTCCATGCAGACTGACACGTTTTCTTATGGATAGTCCCTTAAGAACTCTGAGCAGTCAGGTGGCTGATTTGCTGTTTTGAAAAATAAACACTTTCAACTCCTTTTTGCACTTTACATCTAATCTAGGATATCCATTGAATTATCCTGTGAAAAGCTACCATTTAATAAACTTAGTGATATTCTTCTTGTCACACATGAGTAATTCTTCAGTAAATATTGTAAATATTGTAAATATTACACCTGTTTTTCCAGGTAGCATATAAATTGAGCAATACATTTTTCCTCTAGCTGGATCTCAAACTAAACCTTTTCTCCTGTTCTTTTCTTCTGGTTGTACATGTCTACGTTACTTTGCAAGATTTGCAGAGCAGTGTACAGAGAGACTATTCAAAAAAGACATGCCCGGAACACAGATATTGTGCTTTGATTACAACTGTCTCCTCTGATTAGCTAAAAGGAGGGCAAATGACCTCAACCCCAAGTGAGAAAATAAACAGGCAAGCAGACGTAGTTCTTGAGTGACAGATGGGGCTGTCTGACAGAGAAAGTTTCAGAATGACAGGCAGTAAAGGTTGAGGGAATGGTCACACCTTTTAAACTTCCTCTGGTAACTAAGCAGCCAGTAATGCCTCTCACCTGAGATATTATCCATTAAGTTTGTACAGGCTTGATGACTGGACTGCACAGAGAGAAAATGCAATTTATATCTATTACTATATACATTTATATATATAAAAGCTTATTCCTAGCTGGCTCCAGATAGCTTCCTCTTCTTTAGGAAAACTGTGCTGAGAAGCAGTCAGTTGGACAGCTTCTGGAGAACACAGTTATGACGTTACTGGCATTGCTTTTCAGCACCAATAAAACTGATCAGTTGGGAAGGGTTGAAGGATGATTAAGAGTGCTGCAGCTTTTATTTACTCATAACATCTCCTGGGACTTAATAAGGAAAGAAAAGGGAAGTTGAATTGCTCGGGGATTCACACAATGGGGCTAAAGCCTGCAGTGTTTGCTGTTCTTCCTTAGGATGATCAATCTCTGTGTATCCCAGTACAGATACACTGGTGAGGCTAACTTGTAGTAGCATTCGTTGCTCTTAGAATTTCTTTTCCTTCTTTTAGAGAGACTAATCTAATTGAGACTGAAAGATTAGAGGTATCTGGGGACTTTGTCCAGCAAAATGATAGGATATGTCTCTAGAATTCACAGCATAATGCCTCTCTCCAGATGAAAGTCAAATAGGCCTGGTAATGCCAGACATGATCATTTAATGCTTTATTTTTTTGTCGCCTCCCTTCTTACATTTTTCACCAAAATGAGAATCATATCTCTGTACTTGACTGAAAGTACTTTAGCTTCTGTTCAAGGGCTATGGCAGATTTCACTAATTGGCATTCTGAAGCCTTTTGATTGAAAATTATGTAAAATAAAAACTACCCAGGTACCTCCAGAGGTCCCTCTTGGCGATGTCTGAAACAAGCTGCTTGTAAAGCAGGGGGCATTTGTTCCTCCAACTACTCTAATTTTATTGCTAAAACAGAACAGTCTGTACAAGTCTGGCAATCAGGATTCATGGAACATGTAAATGTTAAGAATACTTTCTCCCACTCTCCACAGCTTAGCTTTATACTAAAGGAATCCAGATTTAAAACTAGCAAGCTGGGATGGTTCATTCTGGAACCTATTCCAGCATTTATGCAGAATAATAAGGTTGAGAATGTTTAGCTAACTCAGCTGTCTGATTGTCTGTACATCCCTAAGTGCTTGATAATTCAAAAAATGCAGGCATAAGTAGATAAATGGGATGCTTTATTATAGACATTATATCCTTGCAGTTCTCCTGTGCCAGCAATTTAAGTCCTCACAACCTTCTCAAAA